TAGGCTTTTGAGTGAATTACAAAGTTCTTTTTTATGCCATTTAAAATGAGGTAAGCCTTGTCGAAATTGACAATGGACCTTTGTGGAGGGAGGATGCAAAATGCTTTCTAGAACAGCAAGCAGAGTATTTTCCTTTTCCATGACACCCCACAGTTCTTTATAATAGCACCTAAAAAGAAACCTCTTTTTCTGCATGACTACTGCGGGTGTTAGGACGCGGGTGGCGCTGTGGGTAAAACCTCAGCGCCGGACTTGCCAATCGCGATGGTCGGCGGTTCGAATCCCCACGGCGGGGTGCACTCCCGTCGTTCGGTCCCAGCGCCTGCCAACCTAGCAGTTCGAAAGCACCCCGGGTGCAAGTAGATAAATAGGACCGCTTACAGCGGGAAGGTAAACGGCGTTTCCGTGTGCGGCTCTGGCTCGCCAGAGCAGCTTTGTCACGCTGGCCACGTGACCCGGAAGTGTCTCCGGACAGCGCTGGCCCGGCCTCTTGAGTGAGATGGGCACAACCCTAGAGTCTGTCAAGACTGGCCCGTATGGGCAGGGGTACCTTTACCTTTACCTATTAATATAAGCAGGGGGGGCCTCTTGACAGTTCTCCAAACGTACGTTTGGGTTAAAGATGGGTCCTGTATCAGAAAAGATTGAAGACTACTGCCCTATGGTCATACCCACACCATACATTTAAAGAACATCGCTACCTGCAAAGAATCCTGGGAATTGTGGTTTGTGAAGGGTGTTTGGAATTGTAGCTCTGTGGGTAAACTACCATTCCTAGGATTCTTTGGGGAAGCCATGCCCGTGATCAGTGCTTGAAGAGCCACGGGCATCTCACTAAGCTAAGCCTCAGCCCAGAAGGCCTCTGAAACCAGCATTGTTGAAGAATACTGAACATCCTACAAACTGGACTTCTCACGGTCACATTTTAGCAATGTTCAAAATTAGCCAGGCACCAGGCGCATTTTGCAACCAGGCTTTCGACAACTTGCAACCAAGTGAAGATGCCTGGGTGCCAGGATGACGCCTGACATCGCCACCATCTGGAAGTGCATACCTGGGGATCATTGGATCGGGACTGTTTTCACACCCTAATATCCCATCCTGTACAATTCTATCCGTTATATTTTATCTGCAC